TGCGTGGGCACGGCGAGCTGCCCCAGCCGGGCCAGGGGACAGAGCTGCCTCCATTTCTCAGCAGATGTTGGTGTTTAACGACAGAGTAGCCCAGTTGTCTTGATTTGCTCAGAAGATCGTTGGATGTTGCCGCAGATACGAAAACAAGTTAATTGATCCGAGTTGGGGAATTAAAAGATTTGCAGTTGTGCAAACTGAGGTTTAATCTCTGGAGCCTGCTTAACCTCCTGGGCTGTATTTTTAAGTCTCTGGGGAGTTGTGCTCTGCCGGTTCTTCCACAGTCGTAGCTTGATCCCAGCGGAGGGAGTTACCGGCTCTCTGCCTGGTCGTGGTAACTGGTGGATGCACGGTGTTCCTCTGGGCTGAGCGCAAGGAAATGTGGCTTATCCCCGTTGGCTACAGGCGCTCCTGTGGGCGGTTACCCTGGCTCAGCTGAGACGCGGTGACGGCGTCAGGAGCTATGTCGTCGAGGTCCCTCTGAACTGTGGTCATGGGAGCTTGCGTTGGCCAGAAGGCAACAGGTTCACAGCAAGCTCAAAACCTGCGTTCTTACCTGCAGCTAAGGGAGCCGAGTGGCTACAGAGAGGATGGAGACTCCCTGGTCACAAGGAGTCGCCTGGAGAGGACAGGGGTCATGGACACGAGTTGATCCCGGGGAGATTCCCATTGGACACGAGAGGGGAATGTTTCCCCATGAGAACAGTCACCCATGGGAATGCCCTCCCCAGGGGAGGGGGTGACTCCGCCACGTTGGGCACTATCCAGCCTCAGCTGGGCAGGGTGCTGGGCCATCGTGTCTGGACGGGGCTCTGGCCCAGAGAGGTTGGGCCAGGTGATCCCTGATGAGGTCCCTTCCGACCTGGGATTCCATGATTCTATGACTCCAAGAGATGGGGCCGTTACTGAGCTCACCCACAGCGATGCAGAATTTGTATTTGGGAAATGAAAGGGCAGGGGGGCTTCCCTCTTCCTGGGTAATGGTGGTTGGTAACGTTTTTGTTTTGTTTTGTTTTCTGACAGAGTGGAAACAGCTTCCATGTGTTTGACCAAGGCCAATTTGCCAAGGAGGTGCTTCCAAAGTACTTCAAACACAACAACATGGCCAGCTTTGTACGGCAGCTCAATATGTGTAAGTATCTGCTGGGCAGCTCGGAGTGCAAGGAGTGAAGTTTGCCCTGAGATAAGGTTCCCCTCGTCTGCCTGGGCTTAACGTAGGGGACACCTCGTTGGGTTGGGAGCGTTTGCTAGCTTTGCAGTCACCAGGTTGCGGGGACCACGTGGCCGTTGTAAGCTTGGCCTCTGCTGAAGGGAGTAACAACTTCTGAAACTGCAAACTTCCACTAGATACAGAGACCTTCAGGCTCTCAGGCGTCTCTTGTCTTGGTGTTTCCTGATGATTAGCGTGGGACATCAGAACACGTCCCTTGCGTTCACCCTTCATTAACGGTTGTGATGGTGCTCTGCCATCCTGTGCCATGAAGGAGGACCCGCTCTGGCCTGCTTCCAGTGAGGCAGGACCACTGCCTGCTCATTCTCTACTTGCTTTCTTAGAATCATAGAATCATGGAACGTTTGGGGTTGGAAGGGACCCCTAGAGGTCACCCAGCCCAACCCCCCGGCAGGAGCAGGGACACCTTGAACCACATCAGGTTGCTCACAGCCCCGGCCAACCTGGCCTGGAATGTTCCCAGGGATGGGGCCTCCACCCCCTCTCGGGGCAACCCCTGCCAGGGTTTCACCACCCTCACTGGAAAGAATTTCTTCCTTATATCTCTATCATCTTGAGGGGATGCTGCTGCCAGCGTCGGGTGGAGCGGGCATTGTCAGACGTTGCCCTTCTAAACAGCAAGTATTTACAAAAAACAAAAAACCAACAAAAAAACTCCATCGAATCCTAGCAGAACGAGGCTGGAGGGACCTCACAATCCTTTAGTCCAGTTCTCTCCTTCGCGGCGGCATCAGCAACCTCTGCGTTGTTCCCGATGACTTTGTACCTCAGTGATTTTTTTCCAAACCTCTGGTAATAAGATCCCATAAGTTCATCAAGGAAAAGCTCTTAGCGTAAGGTTGGTGAACCCGAACCATCCCACTACGGTTTAAATCCTCCACGTCTTTTTCTATCCCCAGCAGGTAGGAGAGGTTTATCCCTTCTCCCTCCAGCAGGTAGGAGAGGTTTATCCCTTCTCCCTTTGTGTCAGCCCCTCTCTCTTTGGAAACTCGATACCCCTCCTGGTTTTTAAATCCTTGTAGGTGGTTTTCCAGCCTTTAACCATTTGCATTCCTTTCGGAAGTGGCTCTGTTCCCTCTCCTCGTTGAAGCGCGGAGGCCAGCGTTGGGCGTACCACCGGGCAGAACAGGCAGAGCAATCCGTGTGTCTCGAGGCCGTACTTGTGTCTGCATCCCGTTACGGCCTTGGCCTTTTTCTCGGCAGCGTGATGTGGACTTTTATGTTGAGCTCGTGACCCACTGCGGCGTTCAGGTCGGTCACCTCCTGCTCAGCTGCTCTCTGCCCCGTGGTTTTCCCTCCCGGGTTGCTTTGGTTTTATTCCTGCCTCAGCGTTGTACCTTGTCTTTGTCAGGAGCGGCTTTCATTCCTCCCATCAAAGTCGCTTTGAAACCGCGGTCAGGTCTTTCAGCGGCTGTGTTTCATCAGCCAGTCCAGCACACGGGCTCTGTCCTTCATCCCGTTAATGAAGGTGCTGAACAGGACTGGCCCCACGCTTGGGCAGCACTACCCTATTTTTTGCCAACTGCTCCCTAAACAAGGCTTGTTCTGTCGGGTTTACGCCGCCATAATACCAGTTTCATCTGCAGATTTTCCTGCTTTGAGGACCTGGTGCTTTGCCTGAGATGTCCACTGCTTCTCTACTGATAAATCACAGAACCATGGAATCCCAGAATCGTTTGGGATGGAAAAGCCCTTTCAGCTCCCCCAGCCCAACCTTCCCCTACCCCTGCCATCCCACCCCCAAACCCCGTCCCCAAGCGCCACGGCTGCCCGGCTGTTAAATCCCCCCAGGGCTGGGGACTCGACCCCTTCCCTGGGCAGCCCCTTCCAGGGCCTGACAGCCCCAAGGGGAAGGAATTGTTCCCCGTGCCCAACCTCACCCTGCCCTGGTGCAACCTGAGGCCGTAAAGCTTGCCACCCTGTCATCGAAGAGAATTCATTTGGTTTAACCTGACCTTTTCTTGTCTTCTGGGTTTTTTTTTTTTTTTGATTTGGTTTGCGGGTTTTTTTTTCACATATGTGTACGTGGAAAGTGGTACGCGCTTGCACAGCTCTCTGAGAAGGGTCAGGAGTTCCCTGGGAGTGCGGGAATGCTCCATTTCCCACACGGCCCAGGAGGGCTGTGCCCAAAATGCCAAATCCTGCCAGGAGAACAAGGATGCCATTGGGCTCCTGATGTGTAACTAGCGGGGGCACAGCCGGACACCTCCAGAATATCGCTCTTCACCTCGCTTGCTGTCTCCTCTGCTGGGGGGCAGGAGAAGCACCTCTCTGGCCTGGCGGGTGGGCAGGCTCGGCTGGGAGGTCGTCCCGTGGAAGGACGGGCTCCCTCGGGGGCTTCCCTTCCCCGCCCAAGCAGCAGCCTTTTCCCCTGCACTGCTCTTGCGTTCAGAGGGAGGAGGGTGACGATTCTCTCCAAAGCACGTGTCCGCAGGTGCCTTCAGCACTCGCGTGTCCCGGAACGCTTTGGAATGGGATCAGCCTGAGCCATTGCTTGAGGGGGGGAGGGCTCTGCAGGGGGACCTGGCCAGGCTGGAGCCAGGGGCCCAGCCCAACTGGGTGACGGTCACCAAGGCCAAGGGCCGGGTCCTGCCCTGGGGTCACCACAACCCCAGGCAGCGCTCCAGGCGTGGGGC